AAGAAGGCGCTTGTATTTTTAGCTGCCTGGCTCCTTGCAGATCTCTGTGTGTTTTGGCATCTATTTTACTCCATTTCTCTGTGCTTGCTCGTTTAATCTCTTACACTATAGAGGTTAGGATTTGTTTGCAACTCCTACATTTTAGGAGACACAATTCAATCCATAACAGCCTCCCTGAGGAGGTGATGTGTAAGCTGTAAATGTCCTTCATCCTCTCACTCAACAAATTTTGTGTACCCCTTTAAAGTCCAGCTAAAATCCCATTTCTTCCATCTTGCTTTCCACTGTGGCAAGTTCTTCCTTCCTGGAGTGACTTCCTTGAAGATAATGTGCTAATCACTACGTGGGAACAACTGATGAGAAAAACTTAATTCCTGCCTTCCAGTTTCCAAGACCATGCCACTCTCAATGTGAGTCCTGGCCACAATCCTGGCAGGTGTCCAGTCTCCCCCATTAGGATCCTAGAAGACTCATAAGGGCTCTGCCAGGTCTCCCAATGCAGGACTTCAACTTATCATTTTCCTTGGTTGATAATCATTCTGCTTCACCCACAATTTAAAAATGTCTATCTGTTCTGGGGAAAGTGCAGTGCATTCTTGAGGACCAGGGCTGAGTGCCTTCTCCCAGGCTTGCTGGAGGACTGGAGGGAGAGGCCACAGTGGACAGGACCGGAGCGGAGAGGCTGAGGGTCAGAGACTCTGCTAGTACACCAAAAAAGCAGTCCTGGCTAAGGAATTGTATCCTATTTTCTACCTGAATTTTAACTCATTAATTTCTCTCATAAACCTCATAATTGTGGGAACAAAAATTAGGTCTGTTCTGATTTTGCATCATTGGATATAATAACTGTTCAGAACTCTTGCTTGAAAGCACCAGGGAAGGACACCTGACAGTTCAGCTTATGGGAAGTCAGGAAAGCCTTTATGGAAGGATTATCTGAGCAGAGAATGAGATGTTGGACCCCCAGCTTGCTGACTTCTATCTACAGCCTGGCTGAGACCATTCATCAGGTGTGTCCACATGTTTAGATTCCAGATCTTACTAGAGATGTCTAATCCGCCCTAAAGCCTGGCCTCAGCCTTGAGTTCAGCTCTCCTCTGTCCTAGTTGGGCATGCTGTTAAGAGAGGCTATTCCTTGGAGAGGGACATCATGGTAGGAAAGGTGAAGGGTCAGGGAAAGAAAAGAGAGGAAGCCCCTCAATGAGATGGATCTACACAGTGACTGCAGCAGTGGACTCAAGTGTGTCAGATGATGAGGATGGCACAGGACAGGACAGGGTTCACATCTGTTGTTCAAAGGGCCTCTATGAGTCATACTCAACTTGGGGAGGGGGTACCTAAAACCAACAATTTCCCAGTCTGTGGTCCCTCAAATGATAAAGAATTGTGTTCCCAACTTAAAGGCACCAAGTTCAAATTCATCAGCTGTTTATTGGGAGAAAGATGGACAAGCTCCTTCCTTTTGATTAACAGCCTCTGAAAACTGACTGCATGATCAACAATGAGTTGGTTCTCACTGGATGGCACATAACAACAACATCATCTCCCAGTCTGAAGTGATCCAGCATGGACCTCTAGCCTCGGTCCCCTGGAGATCTCTTCCTGTCCTTCTGTAAAAAGAGCAAGGGCCCTATGGGGACAGTCATGTCTGACTGTTAGCAGCTTCACAAATGGGAACTGTCACTGTCCACAGTATCAATAACACAAAACAAATTTCCATAAAGTCAGATGTGTCTCTCACACTCCCATACCTTTTTCTACTTATCTCAACACGAATCTTACTGCTTTGCTGGGTCCAAACTATGCGGCCCTCGCCGCCTCTCCTTTCTGGATTCTTGGCAGGGCCCAAATACGAATCTTACTGCTTTGCTGGGTCCAAAATATGTTCCCAAGTTCTCAGTCCTGCCAATGTTGGATTCCCCACACTCCCATAATTGTCCAACAGAGTTCTCAGTCCTACCAATATTGACTCTCCCCCACTTCCCCCTACCACAATCTCATCTCACACCATGTCTCCAGTTTGGCCATGGCTGCCCTTTTCCTAGTGATGTGGTTTCTTCCCTGATGGTGGCCGGTAGTGGCAGGAAGGCTCTCTTCTTTTACTGCCAGGAAGGATCTATCTCTGCAGCTAGGGCCCTTCAATTTATTGGTCGGATTAGCTGGTTGCCTTGTAGATTGGCGAGACTGGCCAATCCCCTTGTGGCATGGTAGATAGCCTGTCCCCTTGTGGATAAGCCAACAGCTCTATTTGCATAGTCCTGCTCATCCACATGGGTCAGTTATTCACATTCAAATAGTGCTAGAAAAGCCCTATTGAAAGACAAACTCCATACCTTTTCTGCCCAAGTGTCTCTGGAAAGGCTCTCACCTGCCCTACTGTACACATACAGGGTTTGCTGCCGCCACTAGATTTCTAAAACTAAAAACGTCTTAAGGATTCACCTGATGGACAGGTGGTAAGAGAGAGTGGGTAAATCAGTAACTGAAGACTGTGGAATAGCAACAGATTACAATCAAATAGGGTTCGGAATATTCACTAGGATCCCCAGCTGAGCTAGCCGGGTGCATAGTAAAGGCAGGGAGAGACCAGGGTTCCTGTTTCAGTAACTGTTGAACAAATAGCGAAATGTTCAGTGGATAATTCTCACAAGGCTACAGCTCTGCATAGTCCACCAACCCTGAGCTGACCTTCTAATTCTTGGCTCTTATCCAGGTACAGAAAGCCTTTCTGAGATCTGGCATTCCAGATAACTTTCTGCAAAGATTTTCATAGAGCTACTTGATGGCTTTTTTGAGAAACAGGTGCACGCAGTCTGTTTCGCTGCCAGGCTTTTCTTACATTAATTTCAGGCGAAGGCGATTGCTGGTCTTCCCACCGCGTGTGTCCTGGCTCCGGAGGCGGCCCTGTCTTCCATCCGCTTCGATGCTCGCCTTCCCCACCCGTTCGCGCCCCGCGCGCACCAGCATCTGCGCCCCCTCCTGGGCACCAGGGCTGCGGAAGGGAAATCCCAGAGGAAGCCATTGTTATTATTACCCTGTCCCCTGTTGTCGTCATCAGCTAAGGCGCGTTTTAGGGCCAGGCAGTTTTCTCCTTGTTCTCAATTTCCTCGCCCAGGCCGCTTTGGGTAAGCCTGCAGCTTCTGAACTGTTAAGCGCACGGTGCTCTCTCCGCATCCCAGCCCCAGGGCTGTCAGAATGGGGAAGCCCCGGCTGGGTGCTGAGCTTCCAAAACCGACGTGATGTACTCAGGTTTCTAGTCCAGGCGTAGGGGAGAGGTTGCACCCTCGATCTGACACGGGCAGACAGGTGACCTTGGCCAGTGGCTTCCTCCTCCTGGCTACAGTTTACCACTCTATGATCCAAAAGAGGAGCTGAAGCCTAGATACAGGCGTTGACAGGTTGAAGGGAGAAAGCCTGTGCCCTTCGGTCAGATGGGAGGAAAAGCTCGGCAGCAGCCATAGGGAGGTGGAGGCGAAGGCGCCAGGAGGAGGGGACGCACCGACCCTTTCGTTCCTTCTTTCCTGCGCTTCGCTGCTCACAGAATGATTCCTTGTCACCGCCACCAGCAAACCTTGGCAGAGCCAATTTACTTAATCCATTTAAGCCTCACCTCCTCCGCGAAGCTCTCCCGGGTTAACTGCATCAGTTCCAACCACTCCATCTGGTACAAGCTTCCTTCCCCCACTCCCCTCCTTTATTGGGTTTTTTTGTTTGTTTATTTGTTTGTTTTAATGTGCATATTTAGAGTAACAGTGTAAGGTAGGGATTGTACATCTATTCCAGAACTCTAAATTCTCAGAGGTTGCCCAGGGTATGTTCTGAGGGGTGTGGCTGAGGATTTCTTGCCTCGACACACCAACTACTCCCACCTCGCCAAGTTTTCTCAACTCTCTTCACTCTCCCCTCCTCCTACGGACCCTCCTCTTCACAGACTGTCACAGTTTACTCAATCCAGTCTTCACCGCCTTTTTAGTCCCCAGTGGCAGCCATGCAAGGGACAGAGTGCATTGAACATTTTGAAGCTTTTTTTTTTTTTTTCCATTTTGAAACTTTGGCTCCAGACCCAACCACTGACTTTGTGGTAAATTGTTCCTTCTCCTGGTCTTTAGTTTCTCCAAGTGCAAAATAAGGGAATCCTGGGAGAGTGATACAGGTGTGAAAATAAGGATTCGACAAGCTGGCCACAGCCGCCTTTTGTGAACACTGGCTCAGTGAACTCAAAGAAGGGGCCCTGCTTTTCGGGACATACGTTCTGTATTAAGTCACCAGTGCTGCTCCCTGACCCAGGGAAGAGAACATAGGGTTGCATTCGTTCACTGCATAACTTTGGGTGATTTCCCTACTGGGCCTGTTTCCTCATCTTAAAAAGAGGCAGAACAATGAGTTGAAAATGAATAGGAAGACTTTTGTTCTAGTAGGTCTGTATAGAGATATATGATAATAATTGGTGGTTCTTGGCATCAGATTTTGCTCGACAATTTTGACCCTATGCAGATACTACTCAGAACCGACCCGGAGAGGTTTTGGCTGGAGTGTCTGGATCACCATACCTTTACTTTACTTTCCATTTCTCTCAAGATAGGTGATAGATGGAATGGGGGTAGGGACCTCCTCAAGGTGAAGCACATGATGAGGTGAAGTCCCTGAAGTGGTAAGCGAGGGACAGCTGATGCTTGGTTGAAGGATTGATGGAAGGCATCCCAGGCCTGGGAGCAGACCTGGGAGCGGTGGGCGTGGCCCTGGTGGGCGTGGCTTAATCACCGGGGCGTGACCACCGAGGTGGCACCTCCTCCTGACCGTGAGGGATCCTAGGGCGCGGACACCCGAGCCTGGCCCTTGCGCCGGGCTTTGGGGCTTTGGGCACAGGGGCGGGGCTCCTCGGGCGGGGCTTAGTCGTGGGGGAAAAGTCGGGGAGACTGGAGGCGGAGCTTGGGGAGCTCGTCCCACGCGGGGCGGGGCTCCTGCGGCCGCGGGATCTGCAGTTGGGACTCCGGCGCCACAGTCGCTGCAGTTCACTCGGACCTGGTGGCCCTGCAGCCCGGTGAGGAGTCCGGGGTCAGCGGGACTTGGACTTGGCGCGGGGCCCTCGCCGCCTCTCCTTTCTGGATTCTTGGCAGGGCCCAGACGGTCGTGGGCGCACGGACATGGAACCCTCTCCGGCCACTGGGGGCTCGGAGACCACGCGCCTGGTGAGCCCCCAGGACCGTGGCGGCATCGGCAGTGGCCTGCGTTTAAAGAGGTAGGACGGCCCCAGGCCGGCCCCGCGGCCCCGGGGGCACCACCCTTCTGTCTTCGGCCCATTTCGTTGTTTCCCTCCGCGCCGGCTCAGCCGCTGGTCTCGGAACCCCGCGCCACCCTAGGCTGTGCGACGGCCTCTCGGGCCTCGCCCGCCCGCTGGCCGTGGCCCCCCAACGACTGGCTATGCTGCCTCCGGGCACCCCATTTCCTCTCTGCTCCACGAGTAGCGCCCCCGGCCGTCTCTCCAAACCCCCGGACCTTGCGCGCTGCCCCCGCCACTCCCAGCGCGTCTGACTCCGGGCTCCGCTGCCTCTCCGTCGGGCCCAGGTCCGCGCGCGGGGCCCCGGTGTCCGCATTGCTCCGGGGACCCCGGCAGCGAGGCTCGGGCGCCGCGTGCAGGCCCCAGCCGCTCCCTCCGCTCCCCCGGGCTCGGGGTCCCCCCCAGCAGCAGCCACTCCGGGCGCCCGGCTGGGCGGCGGGTCTTCCCGGCTCTGGGAAGCGAGGAGGCAGCAAGGAGCAGGTGCGCCCTGGGCGGCGGGGGGTATTCCCGGCTCTGCACAGACGGGCCCGGGGGCGGCGAGGTGTGAAATGAGGCGCGCCGAGCGGCCGGGACAGCGGGCCGGGGGCGGCCGGGGAACCGCCTCCGCGCGGCCGGCCTGAGCGCCTGCAGGCTCCGCGCCTCCTGCCCCCGGGAGCTGCTGCGCTGGACCCCCCTGGTCACATCCCTCTAGCCATTTTGTCTGTCGGCTGACCGTCCGTTTGTCTTCAGAATTCACAAGGTCTTCTGCTCTCTCCCTATCTCCCCGAGTCTTCCCGCTTCCCTCCCTTTGTCCTGGCGGTTCTCCCGTGGATTTCTCGCTCTTTCCCTGGGGGGGGGGGAACTTGGACGTGGGGGGGGGGAAGTGGAAGAGCAGAGACACGCAGGATTTCCCCGCCACCAGGCTCCTTCCTGTGGGGACTGCAGATGTGGGCAAGTGCCCTGGCGTTTCTTCAGATAGCCTTGGACCCTGCTTTTAGGCCCTCTCTGTCATCCACGTCTCTCCTCGTCTGGTTCAGTATTATTGTTTGGTTTTTTGCTTGTGGTTTCGTATGACCTGTGAGGAGAAACTGCCTTTCCTTCTCACTGAGCAGAACGGAGTATCCCCCATAACCGCCCCCACCCCAACACATGCACACGTACACATCCCAACAAGGAGCCTTAGTGCCCAACGCGTGCAGAACAAAAGACAGCAGCCTGTTGATGGCTACCTTGCTGACTGGCTGTGCTGTGCCTTGACTGGACCAGGGACAGCATCTTGCCCACTGCCCCAGGGCCACTCAGCATCTGTTAGCTCTTCAGAGCCACCTCTCTGACGCCCAACGCATCTTCGCTCGCATATGACCATTAGTCACCAGATCCTGCGGTATTTTCTGAAAGGGATTGATTCTTACCTACCTGCCCCTCTAAAATTCTGCGCAAAGAGCCTCAGGCCCGCTCTGTTCTAGGTTCCTGCATCGCATCTCCTCTCCTCCTCTCAGACTTCTCCATCCGCATGGTCATCTCAGGGCTCAAGGAGAGGGAGAGTTGTTAAATCAATCTCCCTTCATGCTCCTCTGAACCCACCCCTTTCTTCCTCAGCGTTCCCCTGGCTCCAAAGCCCCTCATCATCATTCCCCCTGACTGGAGCACCCATCTCAGCCAGGTCACATCTCTTTAAACCTGTCTTCTGCTGTGAAATTCTCTGCACCCCATTAGAGTTGTCACTTCCTGCCCTGTGCCTCAGTGCCTTTGTTCTTAACCATTTCAACACTAGATCCTCATTTTATTTGTTAAACATTTATTCTACTAGACTGGGCTTCAGTCTTTTTTACACTGACTGGGACACCTCATTCAGTGAATGAGAATGGCTTTCAGACCTCCTCCATCTTCACTGGAAGCACATGGAAACATCTTTAAGAAATTAATCTGCTTACAAGCATCTGACTTTTCCCTATAAACACCAAATGTCCTCCTCTCTCCCTCAAACCTCAGTTCACCCACTTGGCAGAGCTTTCTGTAGACAGAAGTTCCCAGGCAGCACCCCCTCCCCCCACTTCACTGTTATGATACACTTCATAATTTTTCACTCATGGATAGTCTAGTCTCACTGGCATGGGTATGTCTAGGATGACCTTTTCTATTTGAGTCTTTTGTTCTGTGGAAGGTTTTATCCTTGCTGGCGTTCAGGTTAAATATGAACAGGACCAGAATGGACCCAAAATTCAGCCTTAGCACACTTTCTGGCACTCCCATGGAGGGATGCACTCATTCAGTTAGGAGGCCCTGTCACTGCAGTGACGTTGGCCTCTAGTAGAGGCTTCTGCTCAGACTGAGGTCTAGGTAGCATGTTATTGTTGTGGTTAGGTGCCATCGAATTGAGTATGACTCATAGATATGCTATGAGCAGTTGACCAGAGCCCTGTCCTGTCCTGTGCCATCCTCATCATCCCCGACACATTTGGGCTCACTCCTGCGCTCACTGTGTCAATCCATCTCATTGAGGGGCTTCTTCTCTTTTTGCTGACCCTCTGCCTTTCCAAACATGATGCCCCTTTCCAAAGAACAGCCTTTCCTAGCAATATGCCCAAAGTATGTAACACAAAGCTTCGCCATCCTTGCCTCCAAGGAGGCTTCTGGCTGCACCTTCTCTAAGACATATCTGTTTTTTCTTGCCATCCATGTAAGAGTTATTCAGTACTCTTCTCCAACACCACAGCTCAAAGGAGTCAATTCTTCTTCTGTCATCCTTATTCATTGTCTAGCTCTCAGATGAGTAGCAAGTGAATGGAAAGACAATAGCCTGCAGCAGGCCATTATTGAGGTCACTGTGTCAGTCTATCTCATTGGGGGTCTTCCTCTCCTTCACTGCTAATAGCAGGCACCACATCCAGTGCCTCTGCTCACCATCCCCAAGCAGGGCAGTTTGCGTTTCCTCTGCATGACAGCCCAGCTCTGGAATCTGGCTGTCAGGCCTCCATGAGCTTCGGATTTTTGTGGTCCCAGCATTCCATTCTCTTGTAGAGGGCCACACTTCACGGCACTTGCTGCCTCCTCTGGGAGTGGGCGTGGGAGGCTGGTCTGGGATTGAGGCCGCACTCACACCAGGATCCTATGCTGCGTTCTACACTTTGGTCTGCCTTCCCCTCATCTTCCCTGGCATGTACCTCTTGTTTCTCAAAATCCTTCCCAGCCGTCAAGACCCTCCTTATGTTACCTTGTCTAGTAGTTTGTCTGATTGCCTCAGAATTAACTCATTTCCCCCTCTCCGGAGCTTCGCTAGCACTTATTGTAAACAGATCTACAAAGGCCATCTTCTCTGTGTCATGGCTATTTATATACACGTCTGATCAGAAAGACTGCCCTGCTTATTTTGGGTGATGTGTGGGGCCTATTATAAGAAAGGTATTTGGCAGGATTCTCATCTCACCTCTAACCCTACTTCTACGTGACCTCCACCAAGTCCTTTTTCTCTCTGAGCCTTGTTGTTGTTGTGTGCTACCGAGTCAGAACCAACACACAGCTGATCCACCAGTAGGTTTTCTGAGGTTGCAAATCACCTGGGAAGAGATTGCCCATCCTTCTCCCGTGAAGCACCTGGTGGATTTGAACCATGTGCCTTTGAGATTGCAGCTTCTTACCACCAGGTCTGAGCCTCATACTTCTGGTTTATTTAATAAGATGCTAGATTAGACCATCTCTGATGTGCTTTCCAGCTGTGAAACTCCATGGACCTGAGTGTGAGAGGAGAGGGCTATGGGAGGTCTGAGCTGTGGGACTGGCTTCATCTCATGAGTGACTCTTGGTCTGCCTGGCTTCCAGTTTGGCTAGGATGCTGGAAACAGGTCTGATGTCTGAGGGCCAGTTTGGAGCACTGATGACATATAAAGGAGGCGTAAGGCAAGCCGTGAGCCAGGCTGCAGGCTGAAGCAGATTGCTTGTAGTCTCTTCACAGAGCCCTCACAGCCCCTCCCTGAAGACTCCAAACCTGTGGAGATGCCCTCCCACCACTGCCACAGGGACCCCATGCCACAGCAGGGGCTTACCCCCGAGAGACTGCAGGCAAGGAGGCAGCTGTGTGCAGCCTGTGCCGTGTGCTGTGTCTTCATGGCTGGGGAGGTGGTCGGTAAGTGGGGGAACAGTGTCTCCAGCCCTCTTGTCCCTGACCCCACCTAAACCCTTCTCCACCCAGGGTCCCAGGGAAATGCAGGTCTTTGGCAGAAATGCAGGGCAGATGGGGAGACTTCGGTAGAGGAGTCTGAAGAGGCCCCAGGATTTAGGGGAGGAGTGAGGGACGGAGCACCGAGGGCATTCAGAGATAGGCCCCTTGTTGGCTTCTCAGGGCAACTGGTCTTTTAAAAACCTTCACTGTTATTAAGATAAAATATTGTAGAAAAGCTAAAAAGTGAAAAGAGAATAATAAAAATTACTTGCAATTGCATCATCAGAGAAGACCACAGTTGGCATTTTAGTGTTTATCTTCCCAGTCTATTATTCTGTATTTCAGGCTTGCATACACATGCGTACACACACACACACACACACACACACACACACACACACACTCTCCATTCTCTTTTCTAAATGGAGCCACCTTGCAGGTGGGTATTTGGCGCACAGCCTGGCCATCATGACTGACGCCGCCCACCTGCTGGCGGATGTCGGCAGCATGATGGGCAGCCTCTTCTCCCTGTGGCTCTCGACCCGCCCAGCCACCCGCACCATGACCTTTGGCTGGCACCGCTCAGGTAAGGCCCCTGCGTGACCCAGCGGTCCTCCAGCCTTGCCATGGGGTCCCCAGCAGGCCTCTAACAGTGTGTCTCCCCCTGCAGAGACTCTGGGGGCCTTGGCCTCTGTGGTCTCCCTCTGGATGGTCACTGGCATCCTCCTGTATCTGGCCTTCATCCGCCTGCTACACAGCGACTACCACATCGAGGGGGGTGCCATGTTGCTGACCGCCAGCATCGCAGTCTGTGCCAATTTGCTGTATGTGCCAGTGGGGAGCAGGCACCGCATGGGGCTCAGAACGAGGGGCCCTGCTCGAGAATGGGAGAGCTGGCTGCCCTCTGCCCTGGCACACACACACGCTCATGCACTCCTTGACTGCACTGCCCTGGGTTTGCCTTAGAAGGGACTGGGATAGAGACCTAAGTTTGGAGTCAAAAGGCATTCGTTATTCCCAAGAGGTGAGCAGCTGACTTGACCAAGTTGCCTAACCATTTCATTATCAGGGCTTTGAGGTGAAGGCAGGTCTCCAGGCTACATTATTGGACTCTCCTGGTCAATGCTGTTTTCTCCCAGGGGCTGTAAAGAGAGGGAGCAGAAGGGCTCTTGGGTGGGGGCGGTGAGAGACAGAGGCACAGAAGCAGGGCAGAGGGGGCCATGAGCAGTCCACCTGGGCTCAGTCGCTCTGCTTCCCCCTCAGAATGGCCTTTGTGCTACACCAGGCTGGGCCCCCCCACAGCCATGGCTCCCAGGGCGCAGAGTATGCACCGCTGGAGGAGGGGTCCAGCGACCCTCTACCCCTGGGCAATACCAGCGTCAGGGCGGCCTTTGTGCATGTGCTGGGGGACCTCCTGCAGAGCCTTGGGGTACTGGCTGCGTCCATCCTCATCTACTTCAAGGTACTGTCCATCTGAGGGGTCATGTCCCTGCCTCTCCCCACCAGGCCCAAGCCCCCTCTTTCCCAGGACCCTCAAGCTCCCTCCCCTTCCCGAGCTCCAGAGATCCCCAGCCCTGGTCACAGCCCCTTTCCACTCAGCAGGGTTCACAGACTCCTTTATTCAGGAACCCCCTAGATCATCCTCTTAAAGGTTCCTGAGCTTACGGACTCTTACTTATCTCCAGCCTCAGTACAAGGCAGCTGACCCCATCAGCACCTTCCTCTTCTCTATCTGTGCCCTTGGATCCACGGCTCCAACGCTCCGTGATGTTCTGCGAGTCCTCATGGAAGGTGAAGCACATTGTTCCCCACCCTGGGCCCTGTAGCTGCCTCTTTGGCCCCACTTCAACCGTGGGCCTCCTAGTGCTGGAAAGAGGACTCAGGTGCAGGGTGAATGGTGGGGGAGCAGGTGCAGAACAGGGGAGCGCGGGGCCTGGTGGGGGCCCACCCCTCAGCAGTAGCAGCCCTGACGATATGGTATGGTGGGTACTGGTTGCAGGTACTCCCTGCAGCGTGGGGTTTGAACCCGTGCGGGACACGCTGCTGTCGGTGCCAGGAGTCCGGGCTACCCATGAGCTGCACCTGTGGGCCCTGACGCTCACGTACCATGTTGCCTCCGCACACTTGGCCATTGGTGAGTCCACACTGTAGCCAGTTACTTCCTGGAAAGATTTCTTCTTCCATAATGGGAGAGTATCTGTTTTACTAGATTGTCCGTGTCTCTGTGTCTATCTGTCTTTCTCTCTTTCACACATGTGCGCGCGCGCGCACACACACACACACGCACACACACACACACACACATTTGCTGATATTCAGAAAGCCAGAAAGCCTGAATAGAGTGTTCTTGGGGAGGCTCACCCTTTTATTTTACTTTTTTTTTTCTTGTTGTGTGCCATCGAGTCAGATCCAACTGGCATAGGAGGAGATTGCCCCTCCTTCTCCAGCAGAACATCTGGTGGATTTGAACAGTACACCTTTGGGATTGCAGCATAGCTTCTTGCCACTAGGCCCTTTAAAAGCTCACAAACACCGAGAGGGCTAGTGACAGGGGATAGTTAAGTAAATGATGGCACCTCCACTCTGTGAAATGTCATTCAGTATTAAGATGCTGATTCTAAAGACTGTATGACAACTTGGAAAAATATTTATGGTATAATACTGAAGGGGGGAAGAGCCAGAATATGGAATTATATCTACATTATGATTCAGCTATTAAAATATACATGGTGACTCATGCGCTGACAAAGGACTTTTTAGTTTCTTCCAGATGCAAGAAGCAATCAGAGACATGCAATTTGAGTGCCAAAAATATCATAATTTGTGGGATATTTGATGATAACTGTATAGGGACAATAGGACAAAAAATAACATCTGGATTGTCCTGGAAAATGGAGTGGTATGATTGCTGAAGTGTATAACTGTGTCATGTTACTCAAAGAGAAGACTAGAAAAAGAACAGCTTAGCGTGTGAGCACGATTGATTAAGGGTGAGTCTCTCTCAGCGTTTGTATGCTGTTTGTACAATACAGAAAGAAAAGAAAGCTCCCCCTTGAATGCTTTGCAAGCCTGGGGTCGTCTTCCCAGGGCACTGGGACAGAGTCATCCTTATCTCAGCTCCTGCCTGGTTCCTGCCTCCCTGGGGATTGTGGCTACCTCTTATCACTCTCCACAGATGCGGCGGCTGACCCGGAAGCTGTTCTGGCTGAAGCCTCATCCCGGCTCTACTCCCAGTTTGGATTCTCCAGCTGTACCCTGCAGGTCGAGCAGTACAGGCCCGAGATGGCCCAGTGCCTACGCTGCCGGGAGCCCCCCCAAGCCTGAGCCATGGCCCCACCCTCACCCACCCCACTGCCAGGCCCGAGCTCAGCCCTGGACTCTGAGCACCAGTCTCCCTACTCAGGGAGGGGGCACTGAGCTGGGCCCAGAACCCTTCTTCCTTACACCTGCCAAACGCCAGCTCCCAGCCCCTGTGGGCAAGACCAAAGCGTATGTGTGTGTGTGAGGGGAACGGGGAAGGGAGGTTCAGGACCACTCAGAAGCATGGGGTACTGGACCTCAGTGCAGTGAAGCGTGCGGAAATCCCTTGGTCTCTTCTCCCCAAGGTTGTGGGGGCTGCGAATCTCCTTTCCATGCGGTTCATCAGTCTGTGGCAGGCTGGCTGGCTGGCTGGCTGTTGGCGTCTGCCTTTCTATGTGCTGTTGGTGTGCCTGTGCCTGGGGGAGGTCAACGGGGCCCCCTCCCCATGTGGCCTTGCTCTGTCTATGCAGAGGCCCCAAAGCCTGCACTTTTGTCTGTGTGTTCTAGCCCTGTGATTTTTGTCTCTGTGTGTGTTTCTTGGTGCTGTGGCCTGTGTGTCTCTGTGCCTGTGTGGCTGTGCTATGGTGTCTGTGAGTCTGCATCATCCATGTGTCTTCTGGGGGGTCTGTCTGTCCATCCCTCTGTTGGTGCTGTGCCATTGGCTACCCCAGAGAGAGGGAGGGCTCTGCAGCAGCTCCACGAATAAACTCATGTCTAACTGCACCTCTCTGGCCTTGTGCTGATTCCATGGAGGGGGGATCGAAGTGCCCATTTGGGTGGTGATGGAATCCCTGGGATTGAGCTGCTCCAACCCTTCTTAGCCCCCTCCCAATTCCTCCACCCTCAAAATATCATTCAGATAGAGGTGAAAAACCACCAATACCCTTATTCAGCTTCCCTGGTGTCAGTGTGCTCAAGTCTAGACCAAAAGTGGGTGGGTGATGCTTTGCTTCTCATGGTCCTTGACTCAGGGAGAGTCCTCAGGGCTCCTGGACTTCGTTGCAGGAGAAAGCTAGGAGACATATAGCTAAAAGGTTCTGGGGAATCATTCGTAAAGGATCCAGCAGACAAGATGCCTTCAGGGCTGGCTGGCTGGCAACAGGGTCCCTTTGATGGAGAAGAGTTGGACAGTGCTCAGGTGGATTGTGCTTCTCAAGCTATGTTAGGTGCCTGGGGGAGGAAACCACCAGCAGCAGCTTGCCCTGCCATGGCTTGGACTGGTGTCACTGAGGACTCTTCCGCAATTACTCTCCTTTTGTTTTAACCATGTATTGACAGATTGGGTCTTACAAATCAAGCTCCTTTAAAGGATTGCAGATTTCTCTAAAGACCAAGCTTTTGTGCTTTGATGTGAGATCTAGCGCTTCAGATCAGCAGGCATGAGCTGGTCTTCTCACGCTGCTGTTGTTTTCAAGTCAATTCTGACTTCTGGTGCCCCCCACGGACACTGTCTGCTGAGTAGAATCGCGCCATGGGTTTGCAAGACTGGCGGTGGTCTTTCCAAAGCGTATCGCTAGGCCTATAATCAGACACACATATCAATGGGTTCAAACCAGTGACTGACCTTTTGGCTAGTAATTGAGCACTTACCCGTTCGTGCAGCCCACTGACCAGCAAACCACAGCCATCAGATCATTTCAACTCACCGTGAGCCTGCAATGGGTTTCTGAGGCGCTAAGTCTCATCAAGAGGAGATTGCCCGTCTTTCTAACTTAGAAGCAGCTGGTGGCTTCAGCTGCTCACCTTGCAATTAGAAGCCTGACATGATATAACTTGTACCATCAGGGCTTCTTATTTGGGTTATGTTACTGTTGTTGTTATTAGGTGCCACTGTGCCAGCGACAGCTTGCAGTGCCCCTAGGAACAGCAGATCTGAACCTTTGCCGTGTCCTGTGTCCCCACATTCTCTGAGGCGCCCAAGCCCTTTGTTACACTCACTGAGTCAATTCATCAGCCTCATCCCCAGAGAGTCGCACTGCCAGCTGAAAGGCCATGCCTCTCTGGGGGTTTGAATCCAACATGGGAGGAAGCTGGGCAGTCTCCTCTCGTGCAGTTTACAACCTCTGAAAACCCACTATAGGGTTAGCTATAAGTGAGTTTCCACTCAACATCATTTGTGTTATGTTGTTGTTAGGGTCCACTGAGTTAAGTATGACTCCTACAACCCATCTGAACCCTGTCCTATCCCGAGCCATCTTTGTAATCTCTGACACATTTAAGCCCCTTACTGCAGTCACTGTATCAACCCACCTGGTGGAGAGTCTTCTTCTCTTTGCCGCCCTTCCACCTTCCCAAGCAGGATATTCCTCTCTAAGGAATAACTCTCCTAGCAACACACCGATGGTATATGAAATAGGTGGATATAATTCCAACCCAAAGCCAAGACACTGAGCATTTTCAGTAACCTATGATTCTCACCACTGGGCCGATTTGCAGCATTATGATGATGGTGAAGAGACTGAGATTATTAATAGCTTTAGTTTACTTGGATCCACAATAAACACTCTTGGTACCAGCAGCCAGGAAATCAAGAGATGAATTGCAATGGTAAAATCAGCTGTCAGAGACCTCTCCAGAATACTGAAGAGCAACGATGTCAGGCTGGAGACTAAGGTGTGCCTGATCCAGGCCATAGTCTTCACAATTGCTTGCTATGTGTCAGACAGCTGGACAATGACTAAGATAGAAAGATAATTGATCCCTTTGAATTGTGGTGCTGAAGAAGAGTGTTGAATATACCACGACTGCCAGGAGAACAGATTTATCCTAGAGAAGGTGAAACCAGGTTGCTCCTTAGAGGCAGGGATTCTGAGACTTCACCTGACATACTTTGTACATGTTGCAAAGAGGGAACCAGTCCTTGGAGAGGGACATCATGCTTAGAAGGGTGGAGGGACAAAGAAAGAGAAGAAGACCATTGATGAGATGGATTGATTCTGTGACTGGGGTAATGAGGGTAAGTGTATCAGAGGCAGTCAAGTTGGCACAGGATAGAGCAGATTTCAGGGCTATTGTACATAATTGCTATGAGTCACAAGTGACTCGACAGCACATAACAACAACAACATGAAGAATATTAGTAATATAAGGAGACCTAGTGGTGCAGTGGTTAAGCAGTCAATTGATAATCAAAAAGTTGACAGTTTGAACACATCATGGACTCCATGCGATAAAAGACTTGATGCTGTGGTTCTTGAAGATTTACAGCCTAGGGAACTTACATGGGGTGGTTCTGTTCTATCTCTTAGGTCGCTCGGAGTTAGAATTGACATGATGTAGTCTGCCAATTGTAACCTGTGATTTCTGTACGGCTTTTCCTCTAAAGATTCTCAGCTTTTAAAATTACAAAGCATGCAGTTAAATCATCTTTCTTAAATGATAAAGGCAGTGATAATTACCTTAAGAGCCCAACAAAGGAGAATATGTACACAGTAGAGATTGAAGGTTTCCCTATAGTCTTACACCCAGAGGTACCTGCTATTTGTGGTTTAGGGTCTATCTTCAGTTATTTTAAAAATACAAGCACTTCTGTATAACAGAAATAGGGCTATTTTGTAGGTAAGATCCTGTCACTCGCTTTCAGGACTCAGTCATAGGTCCTGGGCACATCTTTCCATGTTAATATTCACAGATTTCAATACTCTTTTCCCCAGAAGCATTTGAGGCTTTTTGATTTGCTGGAAATCATGGCCTTCTGTCTGCCCTCCCACAGGGTGCCAGCCCAGGTGGCCCAGTGGCTGGTGTGGGTGGGCAGTCCAGCACACTGGCAGGCGGGTGGAACTGCCCCAGCTGGTCGCCATGCTTTGCTGGTTCCTGATACTTTCTCATTTTACGTCTCATTGATTACCAGCCCGAGAGCGACAGGATGGGGGGTGGGGAAGAGGGAAGAAATGGAGTAGGAAGGAGGGTGGGGAAGTTGAAGACTAGATTTTTACTCTGTACAGGTTAAGTTGCCGCACATCCTCTATTCACAATGTTAAGTCCCTTTGCAAGAGAGGAAGCAGAATGTTTAAGGCAGGAAGAGATCTCGTACAAAGCTTCAGGCCAATCTTCACCCTACCCTCTGCAGAGGAAGAAGAAGTGGGAGTTCAGAGAAGGAAGAACTTCCCCAAAGGTCACCCAGCAAGTGACCGATCAGAGTTGGGGTGCTGACTTCCCCTGCACATTCTGAAGCTCTTGCAGTTGAATCTCGAGTTGTGTTTTTCAGCAAACCTTAAAGCTCCTTCCTCAGTAGCCAGAGTCTCAGCATTCCCTTGTCAGGGGCTCACACTGCCACGATGAACCTCCCTGTATTTCAGTTTAATTTAAAAATGAGGATTGCAAAGTTGCAAATAAAGGTACCATTTGACCCAGCAATTCCACTACTGGGAATATACCCTAAAGAGACCATAAATGACATCCAAGTAGATATATGTATACCCATGTTTATCGCGGCTTTGTTTACAATAGCAAGGAGTTGGAAACAACCTAAATGCCCATCAACAAACAAATGGGTAGAGAAGCTGTGGTATATTCGCACAATGGAATACTATGCTGCATTGAAAAACAAGGAACTCATGCAATATTATTCAAAATGGGTGACCCTGGAGGACATTACGCTGAGTGAGGTATCTCAGTCACAAAGGGACAAATGCTATATGGTGCCACTGTTGTAGAATGAGGCTGGCATTGGGGTGGGGTTAAGACTGAGAAAAACTGGATGAAATATGTTTACGGCATTGAAGTCTATGGGGGAAGAGAATAGTCTAAAAGGATTATATTTTAGGGCATTATTTTTATCGTAGGAAGTATGCAATGAGGGTTGCAGAGTGGATTATATTTGGGGGTAGAGGGTGGGGTTTTGGGGAGGTGCGGGGGGGGGGATTGTGTACCAATGAGGGAGTTTTTCTTTTGCTTTTCAAGGAGAGGAGCAAAGGGGGGGAGGGGTTTGTGCGGGGAGAAGGGTGCAACAATGAATGAATGGAATTCCAAAATCTCTGTAGATGTTCATTAAAATTATTAAAAAAAATTAAAACATTTTAAGA